CCTCTCTCTCTCTCTCTCTCTCTCTCTCTCTCTCTCTCTCTCTCTCTCTCTCTCTCTCTCTCCTTCTCATAGCCTTCTGCAGCTGACTAAGAGATATCTTGTTCTGTTTGTTTTCATGAATGTTCTGTCCTGGATCTACTCTTTTCCTTGGGAACTGAGGCTCAGCCTTTACCTTGTAGTAAAATATAACTCAAAGCACTGCTCTCAAAATGAGGCATCGTGGTGAAATCACGCGCTCGTCAAAATAATGAAATCGAAGAAACTGCCATTTTTCTGTCCGTTTGGCAATTTTATTTTTCAAATTTCCGTGTTTTGGCTCAACACTTTGTATATCTTTTTAAAAACATTTTTATGTGTGGATTTTATGGAAAAATGTTGATTAAAGGCACACAGAATGTGAATTTGCAGTTTCCAAAGACCCTAAGCTATGGAAGTCACCAAACTTGTGCGCTCATTTTCTCGCTCATTTTACTTCTGAAAGCAGGTGACCCCACCTCCTTCAGTTGCAAGTATCACTACTTCTATTCAAGATAAATGGATATTTTTTTCAACCAAAAGCAATGTAAATGAATAACAGTTAAGATGACACTAATAACTCCACATGCCCAAAAACTGACGAGCGCCTGATTCCACTGCGTCGTGACACTAATATTTTTGTTAGAAGTATACTCTACTTCATTATAAAAGCCTCACTTACAGAATTAATGCTCTTGGAATAATAATTAGGGCGCGGATTAGTACAAGTGCTTTCACAAAGGTGTGAGGATACATCACCAACAGACAGAGAACAAAAGAGGTGGTCTAATCTCGGTTCTTGTGTTTGTGTTGTGCAATGTTGAACATACCTTCATCACTAAAAAGTAAAGTAACGAGTGATGCCGCCTTGTGTTGCAAAGGTAGCGAGTGTTCGACACCGCACAGACAGAGTAAGTCTTGGAAGGGTTCTCTATACTGTGCTATTTCATTCCATCATTTCATAACGAAATTTCTGCACACTGATGACCCAAATGTTGGTGCACACTTCTCCATCCATCTTTATGACTAAGGCAAAATCTAGACTGGTAGTTAAACAAAACTCCGCCACAGTCTCTTAGCTTCCACTTGAAGTGTTGGTTGCGCCAGTCTACACGAGCTTGTCTTCGTAGGGGTTGCAGTTTCTTAAGCCTGCTTCTGCCATTCAGCGCTGAACGATGGATACACGTTCTGTTCCTCTAGTTCCCTGAAGGTCTCTGGCTGTTACGGGGGCAGGAAGTAAACGATCTCTCAGCTGGCAAGAAATAAGAAAACGCCGATGTTGAGGTGCAGTCGTAGCCTAACCCTTGGTTGACCCGCCCTTGGTTTTTCAGCGACACTTCCAGTTGTCTGTAGACGTTCTTGCAGTCTTCCAGTTACCCATTGGTCAACTTAAAACCGTGCTTCAACTTGGCTTTGGCTTACACTGGCAATGAGAATCCCAATGGCGCCGTTGAGCTCTCAGTGCTTAAAGTTGACATTCAGTTAGGAGTAAAAGAGGAAGAACAATTTAAGAACTGAACGCGTTTTCTTTCTCTCAGCACTTACGTGTTGATGTGTAGAGCAATCCTGGCTGATTTATTGCAATAAAAAACTACAAAATATACTAAAATATTATTGTGCTATGCGGTACGCGTTTTGCGCATGTCACAAAATGAGAGATGACCACTCCGAGATAAGAATAATTATCTCATGGCCAGACGGTGGACAATAGGTCTTGATACAACACAATGACATTAATTTTTTTTAACGAAACGTGCATTTGAAAAATGGGGCGTTTTTCATGGAGTTGAGTAAATATGTATTTACTTCGTTCTCTGCGATCTCTACTTTCCAAATGGTCATGAATACATCTGAGCTATAATTAATGTCTCTGATAATTCGTATCATCCGTATGATTGACCAATGGTCGTTCTGTCTATGCATTATCGTACAGGCAGCACCTTGCTCTCCCTCTCTCGCCCTCTCTCCCGCGATTGACCTGTTTATTCTACTTTTCCCAGGTGACACATGTTACATATTGCAATGACTCCACAATATATCCTTATAAATCCTGCACTGTCGTAATATTATTCATGTGCATCGCAAAATATTGTATACCGTATTCTGGGTGTGTCAACTGGAAAAGTTTTCCTTTTCGATTTGATGGACACTGTTTTTCTTGAAGGCAAATTAAATGAAATCTTGTTTCACATGTTTTGAATTCCATTGCAATCCACTTCATTCTTTACAAATCTGAACCATTATGTCTCCAGCTACCTGCCAGCCTGTTGACTTCCCAGTGATGACAACCCAACAGACTTCAACAATAATTACTGCGTATAACTATCCAACTCTTGGTACCGGTGGTAGCTCTTTATCGGCGGAATACGTGGCGGCGTCAAGAGGTCAGAGTCGCACCTACTGTTTATTCTTTTTTTAAATCAATAAATGTGAGGCGTCGTGGTGAAATCAGGCTCTCATCAAGATAATGAAATCGAAGATGATGGCTCTTTGCTTCTTGTTTGGCAATTTTTTATTGAATTTTGATTTTTTGGCTCAGCACCTTTTATGTCAATTTAAAAACCCATTGCTGGCGGCTTCTACTGAAGAACGTCCATTAAGGGCAACAAAAATGTAAAGTTACAGTTTCCAAGGACTCTCAAGCTTTGAAAGTCACAAACTTTGGTGGCCATTTTCTATTTAATTTTACCTCTGAAATATCTCGACTTCTATTGAAGATAGATAGATATCTTTTTCTTAAAAGGCAAGACAAAGTACAAGCTTTAGGACGATATCGATAACTTTATATGCCCCAAAACTGACAAACACCTGATTCCTCCGCGTCGTGACACAAAATGCAAGCTCAACTTGATACTACTGAGATATAGTCATTTCGGGAGCGGGCTGCCTGGTTCCCTGACCGGACGCTGAGGTGGACACCAGAGGTAAAGGGAAGGAAAATAAGACATTTCAAAGACAAACTTTCGCAGAATACCGTCACTGTTACTAGATGAATTAAAACTACATTGCAGATTCCAGAAACGTTACGTCTTCAAACGAAACGGTCACGAGAGTAATATTTCTGTCTTGAAATTAAACAATTATTATTTGATTATTATTTGTTCCAAATGGTGCTCATCTTATTTGTGGCGTCGGCGGCCTAGTGGTTAGGTTACCGGACTCGTAATCTTGAGGTTGCGGGTTCGGGGGTTCGAGCCGCGGGCCTGACGTTGAGTCCTTGGGATAGACACTTTACACGAATTTTCCTCCCTTCACCCAGGTGGGAATGGGTACCCGGCCATAGACAGCAAAGGATCTAGTCAGTGTGTTAGTGGTTTAGCGCCTATAAATGGCTGCTTGCGCTGTATACTTCCCAGGAAGTTGAGGTTGTTTCAGAGTGCTCTCAGGTTTCCTGGGATAATAGTATAGATTGTGAAGCGCATAGAGTTTGCTGTTGAGCTGGGATTTGCGCTATACAAATTTTGTTTAATGCTATTTACTATTATTATCTGTTATTATTTGTTGATCACCGAAAACGTCTTCATGAAGCTAAGCCGTCTATATTGTCTGTGTACTTATGGCAGTATTATTAATGATTGCTTTGCTTAGATTTGTGTTGTACTTGATATTTTATTGCATGGCTCCGATTAAGTCTCTTGAGTTTGATCCAACTGACAGCTCTGTCATTCCATTTACATAGTCCTGGCCATAGATTTGAATTATGATATCCTTGATCATGCACTATGACTTATTTCAGGTTGTCTATGAACCGCACTGTTTGAGCCAAATCTTTTTCATTCTTGGCGTTCCCCTGCTAGATCTCAGATGTAGTCAGTCGAAGGTTGGTTCTTCAACCTGCCGTGCAACTTATTTTTACGTATGTCACTGCTTTCCTACTAAGTAGGCGAACTTGCCTTCAGGTAGCCACATTCCGATTTCAAAGGCACTATTCATGTTGTTGGTTTTTTTATTACTGACAAGAGTATTTTCTGTTTAGGTAGGAATTTTGAACTTTGCCCGGGTGGCAGCCGAAGTCTACTCTTATCGATTTTAGGACCACCAAGGGATCTTGATGGTGTGCGATTTGCACACACAACTTCATTGATTTTTCGTCCTTATCCGAGAAGGCTAGCATTAGATCTTGCCTACCCTTAAATCAGGAGTGTGGCTGACAGACAGCAATAAGGAGTAGCAGTTGAAAGAGTCGGGAGTAAAGGGGGGAACCCAGAAAGTGGGGGAGTGGTAGAAATGAAAGCAGAATGACAGAACATGACTAGAGAACATGAAAGGAGGTGAGAGGAAACAATTTTAGAGAAGAAAAATTCCCCCGTCGCTGTCAGTTTTTTGAACCTATTGAATGAGAGGCGCGCAGTGTCGCTCAAGACCACGAAAGCTCCATTTGAGCCAAATGAAGGGCAAAAAGGTTGGGGGGGGGGGGAGAGTGGAGTGCACACCTATTACAGCGAGACATGTAATCTTTTCCTTCATACGGGGGTAATGACACAACCCACGGTGCTCCCATTTTGCAGCAAAAGTTTTTGTAGAGAAGAAAGAGCAGCGGCCATGACAGTGTGCAGTCAAGGAGTATAAGTCTGTGGCCTTGACTATAATTTGTCAAAGCTTTTGAAAAATAATTATAGGTCAAATTGACCGTGGTTGGAGCTTCTCGGTTCAGATTATAAGTTTACTCATAATATGAAGGTGTGTGTGTGTGTGTGTGTGTGTGTGTGTGTGTGTGTGTGTGTGTGTGTATGTGTGTGTGTTATCTTTTTTGGTTGTTTTTTTTATAGTTCTCTTTTGATTGGCTGGATTAGTATTTTTGTTTCAGCTAATTATCGTTTTCAGAATATCTTGTTAAAATTCTTTCTTAAGTTAATTTCAAGGAGGGAAAATATGAAACCTTATTTCTAGGGAGAGGGGGGTTGGGGTGGGGGGAGGACGGAGAGAAGGGAGAAGGAGGAGGCAGAAGGGAGCGCCCAGGGAGGTTGGCATGATGTCTGGACGAAAGTAGGGTTGACCACAGACATGACAGTTCAGGTTACCGCCAAAGGTCGAGGTGACCGGGATTCGAATCGAATGGGGGAGAGGTTG